CAGAATGTACTGTTCATTGCATTCTGTTGCCATCAAACTTTTAGAGGTTATATCTGAGCAAGGTTATCCTCATTCCTAGCTTATTGCATGAAAAATCTAGTGTATGTGCCCCTGTTTTCAAGTTTCAGCTTTTTTCCAGCATTTGAGTATGTGCCTCTGTTTTGTCCTTGCTGTATGGATGTTGTGATCAGGGATAATCCCTAGTAATCTGAGTTCTCCTTCTTCCAAGAGATTGTGCATGGATCTCACCCTTCGTCACCTTAAATCATTTATTGAGCTGTAACCTTTCTGGAGTATTTTACTTGTTCTGATTTTATTTTCTCTTCATCTGACAGGTGCAACCTCTTTTCTTTTTACCGAGTATCAGTATGTTGGTGTTTTCATGGTTGCTTTTGCCATTTTGATCTTCGTCTTCCTGGGCTCTGTGGAGGGGTTCAGCACAAAGAGCCAGGCTTGTACATATGACAGTTCCAAACTATGCAAGCCCGCTCTTGGAACTGCTGTCTTCAGTACCGTATCCTTCTTGCTTGGTGCTATCACATCTGTGCTTTCTGGGTTTCTTGGAATGAAAATCGCAACCTATGCAAATGCTAGAACCACCTTGGAGGCCAGAAAAGGAGTTGGTAAGGCTTTTATTACTGCATTCAGATCTGGTGCAGTGATGGGTTTCCTTCTTGCCGCAAATGGTCTTCTAGTATTGTTCATTGCCATCAACCTTTTCAAGTTGTACTATGGTGATGACTGGGAAGGTCTGTTTGAGGCTATAACTGGTTATGGTTTGGGTGGATCTTCAATGGCCCTTTTTGGAAGAGTTGGTGGAGGTATCTATACCAAAGCTGCTGATGTTGGAGCTGATCTGGTGGGTAAGGTGGAGAGGAACATTCCAGAGGATGACCCTCGGAATCCAGCGGTAGGTTATTTCTGATAAATGGCCCCTGGAATTTCATGAGCTTCTTTTCTTGTCCAGTGGTAACTTGCAGATCATTTCAGGTAATTGCTGACAACGTTGGTGACAATGTTGGGGATATTGCTGGAATGGGATCTGATCTCTTCGGATCTTATGCAGAATCATCCTGTGCTGCTCTTGTTGTTGCTTCAATTTCTTCTTTTGGAATCAATCATGATTTGACTGCAATGCTGTATCCTCTTCTGATCAGTTCCGTTGGTATTCTTGTTTGTTTGATCACCACTTTGTTTGCCACCGATTTCTTTGAAGTCAAGGCTGTGAAGGATATTGAGCCAGCATTGAAGAAGCAACTTATTATCTCCACAGCTTTGATGACTATCGGTATCGCAATTGTATCTTGGATTGCCCTCCCATCCTCCTTCACCATATTTAACTTTGGGGTCCAGAAGGAAGTTCAGAACTGGTAAGTTTGTCTCTCTTTGAGTTTTGAGAATTCTGGCTTTTACTATTTTGGATTATTTTTACTGCTAGTAGCTTTCCTTTTCTAGCTCGCTCACTCATTTTCTTAGCATTGTAAAGGACATTTTCAGTTGTCAAAACTGTTTATGTGGGGAGAAGACTCCACAAAAGCTTTAAAGTTTTGGTCTTGCTCATTCATTTGTTTGCTGTTTCCCTTTGTATTAAATTAATGAGATTTTATGTATTTCACTCAGCATTTATGTTTGTTGAGCACTCAGATTTGCTCGTTCTCAGTTCTCTTTTTGTTTTTTCTTCAAGTACTGGATTTTAAGTTATTTGCTTTTTGCATTCACATTTGTCAAGCACCCAATCACAATTCTTAAAGAAGGAAAAATAAATTAGAAATCTTCCAGAAGCAGCCTTCAATCTCTAATGTGATATAAATTTGCAGGCAACTATTCTTGTGTGTTGCTGTTGGTTTGTGGGCTGGTCTTATTATTGGCTTCATCACTGAGTACTACACCAGCAATGCTTACAGGTATCTATCCAGCATAGTAATGTTTAGGCTTCCTGTTTAGCTTGATATTTATATAGCCCTAAGTTGGTTGTTTTTTTCATCTTCTTAGCCCTGTGCAAGATGTTGCCGATTCCTGCCGCACTGGAGCTGCCACAAATGTTATTTTTGGCTTAGCATTGGGTTACAAATCTGTTATTATTCCAATTTTTGCCATAGCAATCAGCATTTTTGTGAGCTTTAGCTTTGCTGCGATGTACGGTATTGCAGTAGCAGCCCTTGGAATGCTAAGCACCATAGCTACTGGATTAGCCATAGACGCTTATGGACCCATCAGTGATAATGCTGGAGGCATTGCTGAAATGGCTGGTATGAGCCACAGAATCCGTGAGAGAACTGATGCCCTTGATGCTGCAGGCAATACCACTGCAGCCATTGGAAAGGTAAACGACACTCTTTTCTGTTGAGAACTTTCGATCTATAAATGGGTTATTTAATAAGGGGTTTGTTTGGATTGTGTTTTATTTTCCCAATTTTATCTGCTTACATCATCATTACAATTTCCAATACACCTTTTTATCTTCCCAATTATCTTTTTATCTCACACACATCACATCACAAAAAGTACTACAGTAAAAATATTCCAAATAAAACACAATCCAAAAGGCTATTAATGGATCCGTATAATTTTATTTAACCACTTATTTTCCATGGACTACCTGTTTTTCCCATTCTAGTCTTAGGCTTATGCATCAAAAAATTTTAAGATGACATGCTTGATCTGAATTCACTTCGTGTTTTGTAGGGTTTTGCAATTGGCTCTGCTGCTCTTGTTTCCCTTGCACTCTTTGGTGCTTTTGTTAGCAGGGCAGCGATTTCCACTGTGGATGTCCTGACACCCAAAGTTTTTATTGGTTTGATTGTGGGAGCAATGCTTCCTTACTGGTTTTCTGCCATGACAATGAAAAGTGTTGGGAGCGCAGCTCTGAAGATGGTTGAGGAAGTGCGCAGGCAATTTAATACCATACCTGGTCTCATGGAAGGTACTACCAAGCCTGACTATGCCACATGCGTTAAGATTTCTACAGATGCTTCTATCAAAGAGATGATTCCTCCTGGTGCTCTTGTCATGCTCACACCCCTCATTGTGGGGATCTTCTTTGGTGTGGAAACACTTTCTGGTGTTCTTGCTGGAGCTCTTGTATCTGGTGTACAGGTAATGTTAGAAATAATGGGTTTTATCATTTATGTACCTCTTAAGAGTATGCTGCAATATAGGACGTGCCTGCACTGAGGAATGTGCACTATAGAAGTTATTTCTCGCTGGTTATGAATTATCACAAGATAACTGCTTTAAATGGTGTGGTCCATCCATCTGGTTTTTGCCTCTTAATATTATAGCCCACTCCATCACCCATCTGCTTCTTCCATGGATGATTTGTTTCATGGTGTCTGGTATACAGATTGCTATTTCTGCATCTAATACTGGTGGTGCATGGGACAACGCCAAGAAGTATATTGAGGTAAATTTCCCGTATCGGATATCATTTTGTCGCTCTCTTTTTTTTTTAAAGTTTCATGCATGTATAGTATAGGTTCCTAATGCCATTGTTTGTAATGATTTTGCATTGATAGGCTGGTGTGTCCGATCATGCAAAAAGTCTGGGGCCTAAAGGATCTGATCCACACAAAGCAGCTGTGATTGGTGACACCGTTGGTGATCCTCTCAAGGACACATCTGGACCATCCCTCAACATTCTCATCAAACTAATGGCAGTCGAATCACTTGTTTTTGCTCCCTTCTTTGCCACTCACGGTGGCCTGCTGTTCAAGATCTTCTAGAATAGGAGCGCGAGCTTTACTACAGAGGATCTGCCTCTAATTATTGTCTGTCTGACGATCTTACCTGAAAGTCCCACTTCGTTGTCTTGCCCTCATCATCTTCTTCTTACTTTTGTCTTCCATTTTGGTAGTTTTCAAAATTGAAGAAATTTTTAAAGGCTTAGGTTTGCGGGCAGAAGTTTTTACTAGAGGTTTAATGGTGATGATGATGATAATTGTCAATCTCTGTGAAGAGCTGGGCCGGCATCAATATTCTTTTTCGAGTAAATGAACAGCTTAAATCTTTACTGCACATAGACTGCATTTATTTCTCTGTAGCGCAGTCGTGCTTAAGAGTCAGTCAGGATGCTTGATAACATTTGCACCACTGTCGGCAGCTTGTGAGATGTCATGATTGCACTCTCTACGGGAAAAAGACGGTGGGGTCTTGCGATTTGCTCTTCGTTGGTTGTGCCTTTTAGTATCCGACCGCTAATTACCCAACGTGTTTCACTCCTTGTTTTCATTTGATCGTGTTTGGCAAAATCTGTCCTACTCCCCGTCAAGCGTTTGATCCTCTTTTTTTTTTTTTTCCTCCCCCCCCCCCCCCCCCCCCCGGCGGGGCTCCGCCTTCTCTTATTTATTCATTTCCCTGCTTAGAGAGAGGTACATACAAGCGTTGGTAAACCCACCTAACGCCGCCATGCCCGCGTGCAGTTATCAAAAGCATCGATTTCTTCCTCTCCTCCCATTCTGCATTAAGAGTCTGAACCGGCGCCAACTAACCGGGAATGCAAAGTTATGTTCCTTGAATCTCCGCCTCCCACCAACTAACGTACAAGAGTCATTCAAGGCACATTCCACCCTCCAACCAGAAACCAATGCCAGACACTCCTCCAAAGGCAATACACCTAATAGTATCAAAATTGAAGCAGTATGCATCAAAATCTACCCTTTTATTTCCATCGCTGAATAGCACGTGAAGATTGTTGAATTCACAAATTACTTCCAAACAAAAGAAAAGTATAATGGGATCATTCCGTGTTGTATTTTTGGGGGAGTGAGACTGTGTGTGGAGTCTTAATCGTTTACTCTTCCTCAGGGACACTTTTTTGAAACCCCAAAAACGAAAAAAAAAAAACAAAAAAAGTGTGTGAACTGTTAGGCATGAGGGACTGGATGATTAGTGGATCATTAATCCCAAGCACGTGCATCAGACAGACACCATCTCTGCGTATCCGGACAAAACTCTCTTCCCCCGCCCCCATATTTCTTTTTCTTCTTAGGCAGAACAAAACAAAACAAAACGCTGCCTGCAGAAACTAAAATCTACTAGTACTAAATTATGCGTACGTGTCCTTAACTTCCCATCCATTCAGGGTCGTCAACTTTATACAGCTGAGAACCCATGTCCTAATTTTGTTAATAGCTCATTGCCCCTGCCGCCTCCATTTCTGCACACGCCACCATGCTCTCCATTTCCCCTATACAGCCCACCTCCTCTCAATCCACAGCCCATTCCCCCCTCCTCCGCCAGCTTCCCCTCTCCCGTTCCCACCATTTGCATCACCGCCACAGCAGATTTTGTTTCCATTTACTCCAGCTCTCCCGCCGCCGCCACCCCTCGGCCCTTCTCATCCGTGCCCTCGACGCAGCTCAACCTTACGATTACGAAACCCGACTCTCCCGCCGCTTCTCTCAGTCCACGGCGCTCAAGATTGCCATCATTGGGTTCGGTAATTTCGGCCAGTTCCTTGCCAAAGCTTTCATCCGGCAAGGCCACACCGTACTGGCCAATTCCCGTTCCGACCACTCCTCCGTCGCCCAGTCTCTCGGGGCATCATTTTACGCCGACCCGCATGACCTCTGCGAACAACACCCTGACGTGATCTTGCTCTCCACTGCCGTCATCCACACCGAACAAGTTCTCAAAGCCCTCCCAATTCAAAGACTCAGACGCAATACCCTGTTCGTCGACGTTTTATCGGTCAAAGAGTTCCCCAAAAATATCTTCCTCCAGTACCTCCCTAGTCATTTCGATATCCTCTGTACTCATCCCATGTTTGGGCCAGAGAGCGGAAAGGATGGTTGGACGGGCCTCACATTTGTGTTTGATAAAGTTAGGATAGGGCCCCAGAAGTCTAGGGAGGCAAGGGTTGAGGATTTCTTGCAGATTTTTGAGAAGGAAGGGTGTAGGATGGTGGAAATGAGCTGCGCCGAGCACGATAAATATGCGGCTGGATCGCAGTTCATTACACATACAGTGGGAAGAGTTTTGGAGAAGTTGAGTTTGGAGACTACCCCTATTAATACTAAAGGGTATGAGAGATTGTTGGATTTGGTGGAGAATACGGCTAAGGATAGCTTTGATTTGTACTATGGGTTGTTTATGTACAATAAGAATTCCATGGAGCAGCTGGAGAGGTTAGATTTGGCATTTGAGAGTCTGAAGAAGGAGTTGTTTGGGCATTTGCATGAGGTTTTGAGGAAACAGTTGTTTGGGAAGGTGGAAGAAGGCGTGCAGGGGCCTGTGTTGTCGAAGCTGCCTAACAATGTGGCTGCGTTTCCACCTCCTAAAACGAATACTGTTGAAATTAATAACAACTAGGAGGAATTCTTTGCGGGTAGAATTTGCCATTTTTGGAAGTTGAACTTTTCATTATATCAATTATTCTTGATTATTTAGGGTGTCTGTTGCAGTTGAAGTTATGATCTTTCTATATGATAAACTGCTAGTTTTGCCACTTGTATTCTGTTCGTGACTTCTCGCTTTAGCGAACGATATTTCATCATAAAGTATCTAAATATGTGTATCTCGTAAGAATTTCAAGTAATTATGTTGCAATTTTATGTTCCCTTAACTGTCTGATGACGGGGTTGATGTTGCTACGTCGCGATGTATTTGCCACTTGTATTCTGTTCGTGTATTCTTGCTTTAGCAAACTACATTTATCTGAATATATTAATGTGTGTTTGATTGGGTTTCTGGGAATCTTGAAGATGGCAATTGCAAAGACTCGAATTCTACATTCACCCTTGCAAAGTAATCTTGCAGACTTATTATGCCACTGTTTTTGAAGGAGGAAATTGCACTTGCTATGTGCAAATGTATGTATGCACAAGTTTCACGTGCATCTGCCTCCTCCATGCCCGTGAGATTTGGATGACATTTGCTATATCTAGTACATTTAACATGAGTTAGTCTCAGTATGTTAGTCATCTTTTCAGTTGTTAATCAATGTTTGTTTGTCTTGACTATTGCATTGCAGATCCTGCCTTGTGTGTTTTCGATGCAATGGATGCAGTGGTCATCATTACATTCCAGTGGTGTGTGATGCCCTTGTATGCTACCTTCAACTAATCTTCCCACATAGTAGGCATACAGATTTTGCCCCATTTGTTGCACCTTCCACGTTCTGGGGGCTACATTCATGTTGGAGTTGTAGCGATGTTAGCTCCATTTGATTTTGTATCTTATTCGCCAATGGGAGTGGTTGTAGACTGTATGGAAATGAGAGTTGCTCATCATAGAGAGTATTTGAATAGAGTGCTTATTACTAGGTCCTGTATCGTCGGATTTTTAGAATTATGCTTTCTTCAACTGAATATGTAATTTTTCCAGGGCTTGTGGTTGGTGACTTGGTGCTAAGTATATGAGCTGTATTGGTGCTCTTTTCAGTTGGGGATTTGTCTTTAAAAAATTGTCTGCCGTGCTAGTATGGTGTTCTTTTCGACCCTCACTCGCATGTCATGTAGTTATCTATTAAAGCTGGTTTTGCTGTCCCAGGCAATGGACATAAAGATTGTTGTATTTTTGCTCGTCTATGTAGTAGTATGTAATCGTGGTGTGGTAGCCTTGTGATATAAATCCCACATTTGAAAGTTTGTGGAAGATGAAAAGGCATGTATTGCATCATTTGTGATTTTGCTGATGAATCATTCTGAGAACCAGCAATATTGGGTGGTCTGATTATTTTCGACTATTTTGAAATTGTGATTTAGATTTGTGATTGGTGTGAAAGTCAATAACTACCATGTGATGAAAGACATTTGTCTGACAAATTGGAATTGATTAAAAGAGGCAAATCGTAGATGCACTTTTTTTTTTCCTTCCTTTCCTCCACATATGTCTGCCTGCTAGTGACCTTGGTAACAAATGGTAGAAGTTTCTTTGGGTTGCTAGAGGATTGATTAAATTTGCTGAATCCATGGACTTGTTTGCGTACAGCTTTGGGCAGTATCCTTTGAATATACCTCAAATTACGGTATGCTTTTTTGTTCATCTAGTCTCCACTTGTGAAGTAACAGAGCCAAGGAGGTTTCTTCTTGGTGCTCCTGTTAACTGGTGTCAAGGTAGAACATCAAAAAGAAGCTTCAAGGAGCCATTCGGCTTAAAACTTTTCCAGGATCGTGAACTTGCAAACATCTGCGGGGTTCCTTGTGACATTATGCAAGAAAAATGAGAACTGTTCTGTCAAATAATCTCATGGGTCCTCTACGTGTATGCTCGGGTGTGTTTTTGATTGAGTTTCTGGGAATCTTGAAGATAGCAAATGCAAAGTCCCGAAGCCTGCCTGCATTCATCCTTAAATGGAATCTTGGAAATCTATTTTCATGCAACAGTTTTTGGAGGAGGAGATTTGCGCTTGCCATGTGCTTGTGTACGCCTGCATAAGTTTAGCATCCATCTGCCCGCGCAACGACAGAAGCCTGTAAGATTTTGTATGATTAATTTGCCGTTGCTGTGCCAGATACATTTAGTATGAGTTAGTCCTGGTTTGTTAGTCATCTTTTCAGTTGTTAATCCATTTATGTTTGTCTTGACTACTTCTATTGCAGATCATGCTTCGCGTCTTTCTCATGGGTATAGATCAGTCATCACATCACGATTGCATTCCGACATGATGCCCTTGTTGTATGCTACCTTCAACTATTCTCCCCACAATCCTGGAGACATACAGATTTTCCTCCTCCACCTGCAGCACCCTCCATGTTCAGTCATGCTATGTCCGCTTGATCTTAGAGAACGTCTTTGCAAGAAAATTTTGTTTCTTATTCGGCAATGGGAGTTTCCGCAGAATGTATCAAAATGCGAGGCACATATACTAGAGACTATAAATATAGAGTGCTTATTTCTACGTTCTCTATAGTTGCTCTTCACAAGTACTAATTTTTTCCAGGCCTTGTCGTTGCCTCAGTTGAAGACTCGATATGAAGCCTAGTAGTTTAACAAGACGATTTCTGCTCTCTCCTAGCTCCTATCTTCTAGGTAATTGTTGTTGCATTCCAAGCATTGCTGGCAAGCCCAACAGAGCATATGCTTTTCCTAGTTGTTGCTTATGCTCGAAAATCCAATATGATAGATAACAAGCCATTGTCTGTCAATGATAAAAGGAAAATGGATTCTTTTATATGACATGGAGAATAAACAGAAGGATGTCACACCTATTTAATTCCAGTTACAAAATGAGATTAGCAAATCCACAACCTCCTCGTCACCAAGATGTATAAGAACAGCATTAAAAAGAAGCAGCAACTGAAAAGAAATGATCAGACCAGGTCCACAACCTCTTCGTCCCCAAAATGTAGAAGAATAGCATTAACAACCAGCAACTCAACGTTGCATGACACTTGGTTCTCTGCACTTTTTCATGCCGCAAGTGCATGAAGGTTAGCTTTTTATGAGCTATATAGTTTAACAGCATCAATTGGCCTCTTGCCTTGCTGGTAGTACTTGAAGAAAATTTCAGGGTAGTCTTTCACTGTCTTGTATGTCTTGTATAATCTAGGATTTTTGTCATTGATGAGCTCCTCTACTGATCCAATCTCCTTTCCTACTTCTGGTGAACAGAACGTAGCCACGGAGATCCTCTCCTTCGCTGAGTTTGTCAAAGCCCTGTGCAACGGACTCTTGAAGATCCCATTGCTCATTACCTGCACTTATCCCCGTTGTCCATTGTGAAATGTTAATCAGAAACATCACCAAGCCACCAAAGTAGTCACTGAAGCTTGAATACGATGATTTAACTGTACAAATGCATAAAATAACATGTTGGCACTACCTCTATCTCATCACCGACATTAACTATAAGCGCATGAGGCCTGATTGGAACTCGAAACCACTGATTATCCTTGAGGAATTGAAGGCCTTCAACTTCTTCATCCTGCTGGAGTACGGTGATTGCTGAGCCATCGGCGTGTGGTTTCACTCCGTGAACAAGATCAGGCCTTGGACATGGGGGATAGAAGTTATATCTAGTATACATAACTGGCCTCTCTCCATATTGGTTCAGAAAACTGTTGTCTGGCAAGTTCAGTGCTTTTGCCATCGACTTGAGGAGAGTTTCAACTATCATTTTCACCCTTGTTGTATACTCCTCTAAAACTACCCTATTAGAAAAAGCAGCACCAACGAAAGCATCATGTCAATTCGATACTAGCATACTAGGTCATTTGGAAATGCAGGCATTTGCTGCAGACTGATTAAAAACATTGCTTTTGCCAAAAATTTAACTTAAAATTGAAAAATAATTACCTAAAGGATTTGGGATCTTCAGGCCAATATTGTAGCTTTCGGCCATCTTCTGGACTCACTAAAAGGTAAATTCTGTCTGTCCAATCCAGAGTTTGATTCTCATACAAAATCATGTCATTTCCATAACCTTCAATCTCACTTGCTGCTCTGGCATACTTCTGCTTGTCTTTCATAGGGAGCTTCAAGAATTGTCTGCCATTCTCTCGCAGTTCATCCAGCAAGCAAAATTCTATTCCATGGTTTATAACCTGAAACTCTATGCCATTCTTTCAGTATCAACAAAGAAATTCTCTTGACATCCATAAGAAAGGCAGAGGAGAAGGTGTAAACATATTCGCAAAAAGAGGCAGCAATTTGAATATGAAAAAGTTATTGCGCTATTTTCCATATACTTTCAACAGAATCAGGAGATGAAACTTTGCATATCAAAACTTCTGAGAGGCAGGCTAAAGGTGGCAAAAAAGACAAGCTTTGAACAAGCCAACTAAAAACAACAACAATATCCGAGATCAGTAAGTGCAGCAGGTTATTTTGACAATGAATTTGAACCTGAAAGCAACCCCATGAACTCAGAGCTGACTGAAGTTTTTCGAGTTCCTCATCTGTTGTAGCTGATGAAGATGACAAACGACTAAGATCAATAACTGGGATGTCCATCAACGGAAGAGAGGCTGTTATGAGCCCATAAGGAGTATCTTTGCATATAAATCTCTCTGGAATTTCATCACCATCCTCTGCCAATTCCTGAACCATCCTGTAGGGGTCAAGTTCTGAGTCTCCAGCCATGACGGTGCCGCTTGGTGCTTTGCAAAAGTTACAGATATGTATCAAAAGTATCTAAAGCCAAAGCCAGGCCTCTAATAAGGTGTATAATTTGGAAGGTAGAAATTTACATTTAAATTAGAAAAGGGCTAAAAGGTCAAATACTGATGTCAATTTTTAAATATGTAAAGATAGCAGGAAGTGAAATAATAAGTTTACAATCATGGCATGATTACCATACGATATATATATATATATATATATATATTTATATATATATATATATATATATTTATCAATCGTCACTTTCATTTATAGTATTCTATATTATCATAATAAAAAAGAGAGATTCAACTGAATCTAAGAAATAGGGGAACTGTTAGGGACTGAATTACTATTAGATCAGACGAATACACTAAAATTTTTTAAGAAGCTACTTAATATGGCAATTAGTGGGATCGCCTCTCACCCCACCAAGTTTTAAATGATTTAATGGTGGCTAATAGCCACCAATCCAGAGGCTGGTGGTTAATTATCATATGACTCTCACACAGCTGAAATATGGTAGTATTTCTTTACTAGCAATACGTGTCAAACAGTATCTGGTTTAGCTTGGAGCGAGTAGAGAAATTGATCAACTCAAGATATCTTTTAACTGATTAATGAGCCCAGTTAATCTTAGCCACTAATTAACTATTGCAATATACAAGATTTACCAATATTCTAAGCATTGTTCTATGAAAGTTTTAGCTTAGTGTATGACACAGTTTTCGGTAGGGTTTATACTCCCTCCGCCCCACTTTGATAGTCCAGTTTTCCTTTTTTATCTGTCCCAAATTGTAATCCACTTTTCAATTGAAGAATGTAGTTGTATTTTAATTTTTCTAAAATACCCTTATTCAATGTAAGTTGTTATTATAAACCTACCCTATTTAATGAGTGTTGATTCTTTTTTTATCATCAATTCAAGTTTCCATAAAGTTGTACTCTAATTAATGTCAGGGAATTTTAGGAAAATAGTTACCTAAATTGATTGTTCCAACAAAGTTAACTATTTTTTCTTAAACTGTATGAAAAAAAAACAAAGATTATCAAAATGGGACGAGAGAGTATAATATTTCCTCGATTTCTGAAAATTGTGGATGAGTCGTCACATGGTGATGGAATGGCCCAAAATTTACACCTTGATCACCTTCCTGCACGGCCAAAGGCGAAGCGACTAGAGATGCTTCTTGTACTCTTCAAATGGCATATTTAGATGGAAAAAGCAGAAGCTAAGACCAAATAGAGCAGGCATTACTTTTCCCAGGAAAGGGCGGAGAGGTACCTCGAATCCATAATGTGAAAGATAAATGTTTATGGATTTGATCCCAGAAGTAGCTGAACATCAAATTTCCACTCATTCTACTAGAAACTAAACTTTTACAGTTACAATTGCTACCTCTCCTTTCTGAAAGCACTCACAGATTTATAGCACTATAATTTTTGACATTTCTATACAATCTTGCATGTTTCTCATCTAACAGTCCGTCGACCGGACCAATCTCCAAGTCCCGCTCTGCTTCGTTTCAGATGGACACTGATGTCCTCAGCTTTTCAGAGTTTGTCATTGCCCTCTGCACTGGACTTGTGATTATCCCGTTACTCATTATCTGCACACATGACATGACTCATAAGACAAAGAATTCAAATTACGCATCTTCTCTATTTTGCTGGTTTAGCTTGACATAAAGGACAGATACTGAGGGAAATAGATAGAGTTTGACGTATGAAGAAGTATAGAATTAAATTTCTGGAAAAACTATGGTCTACTTGGTTGTAGATGGAATCAGATTAAGCCTCGTCAAAACTGTCACATTGTCAATTACGAAAAGGATCAGAGCAAATTTTCGAGGAGTAAAGCTAAGAAAATGCACATGAAAACAGAGAGGAATAGCTACCTGCATTTGATCACCAATATGAACAGCTAAAGCATTAGATAGTGTGGGAACTTTGAACCACTGACTGTCCTTGAATATTTGGAGACTCCAACTTCATCATCTTGCAATAGTACAGTGACTCCAGATTTATCAGAATAAGGTTTGGGGCCAAGAACTTTATTTGGTCTCGGACAAGGTGGATAAAAATTCAATCTTGTAAGCAATAATGCACGTTCACCAAACTGATTCAGGAAGCTGTTTCATCCAAATTCAACAGCTTTAACTTCATTGAATATTCAAATATTCTCCCTGCAGCAAAACGCAATTTCCTTTAATTCAAGATGACTCAGAATTGAAACTGTAGGCATCACAAAGAAGAATCGAGTGAATTACTTCACAGCATAATAGTGGCAGATCAAAAGTAGGCGTCATCCTTCAACATTTGAATGTTAAAAAAGCACACAAGTGATAAACATGAATGAAGTAATACTAGTTGAGCATACTCTTGAGGGAAAATGATAATCTAAGTGAAGATAAAGCAAAAAAGAGAGTGTTCTTGTTGAATAGTATGATTTGTGGAACTGCTAACAGATTGCAGCAGTTAGTTTTCACTTTGCAATACGTATTCACTCTTGCTCTACCTTTTTCTGCCGTATTCACTCTTGCTCTACCTTTTTCTGCTCTAATACCCAACAAAGTGGTATCAGAGCTCTCATCTTGAGGGATCTGTGAGGATTGAGAGAGTTTAAACACTTACCCTTATTACAATGAATCCAGAATTTTCCTCTACTTATCAACTTGGACCTCCTATATTTGATGGAACAAACTATCAAATGTGGGCTGTCAGAATGGAAGCATATCTTGGTGGAAATGATTTGTGGGAGGCTGTAGAGGATGATTATGAAGTACTTCCTCTTCCAAACAATCCAACAGTTGCTCAAATGAAACACCATAATGAGAGGAGACAAAGGAAATCGAAAGCCAGAGCAAGTCTATATGCAGCTGTCACATCCACAATCTTTACCAGAATCATGACGTTGAAAATGGCACATGAGATCTGGAATTTCTTGAAGAATGAATATGAAGGAGATGAAAAAATCAAAGGGATGCGAGTGTTGAACTTGATTCGAGAATTTGAGATGCAAAAGATGAAAGATTCAAAAACTATCAAGGTCTATTCCGACAGACTCCTTGACATAGTCAATAAAGTAAGACTCCTTGGTACTGATTTTTCTGATTCTGGAATAGTTCAAAAAATTCTAGTTACAATCCCTGAAAAGTACGAGGCTACAATCGCGGCCTTGGAAAACTCAAAAGATATGTCGAGTATCACCTTGGCAGAGTTGTTAAATGCACTGCAGGCACAAGAACAAAGAAGGCTGATGAGGCAAGAAGGATCGGTGGAAGGTGCCTTTCAAGCCATATCACAATACAACAACAGGGGCAAGAACAAGAGCAACAACAAAAAGGTGCCTGGAAATAACAAATCTCAAGTTTATCCACTTTGCCCTTATTGCAAAAAAACCAATCATCCGCAGAAAAGGTGTTGGTGGAACCCAAATGTAAGATGTCACAAATGTGGTCAGTTAGGGCATGTGGAAAAGATATGCAAGTCTCAACAGCAACAAGAACAAGCCAAGGCTGCTGAGAATCAATCTCAGGAAGAGCAATTGTTTGCAGTTTCATGTTTTGCTACTAATAGCTCCATGGAAAGCTGGCTTATAGATAGTGGTTCTACAAACCACGTGACTTATGATCGAGAGCTTTTCAGAAAGCTTGATAAAACTACTACCACTAGAGTCCGGATTGGAAATGGAGCTTACCTTGCTGTAAAAGGCATAGGAACAGTGGCAATTGAAGGGTACACAGGTTTGAAATTAATTTCTGATGTTTTATATGTTCCAGAAATTGATCAAAATCTTTTGAGTATTGCTCAGTTGTTGGAAAAAGATTATAAGGTGCTATTTGAGGATAAAAGCTGCATAATTAAAGATCCAGAAGGAAGAGAAATGTTCAGAATTCAAATGAAGGGCAAAAGTTTTGTTTTGGATCTGATGAGAGAGGAGCAAGCGGCTGTACACAAAGAAATTAATGATGCAGCGCTTTGGCATAAGAGATTGGGCCATTTTCATCATGCTGCTCTGCTGTTCATGAAGAAAAACAACTTAGTAGAAGGTATGCCTGAGTTAGATGAAGAGCTTCCTACTTGTGCTGCTTGTCAATATGGGAAGCAATCAAGGCTTTCTTTTCCCCAAAGTACAACGTGGAGAGCTACACACAAGCTGCAATTAATACATACAGATGTTGGAGGACCTCAGAAAACACTATCTTTGAATGGTAGTAAGTTTTATATTCTCTTCATTGATGATTACACTAGAATGTGTTGGATTTATTGCATGAAATTCAAATCTGAGGTTGCTGACATCTTTTGGAAGTTTAAAGCTTGGGTTGAAAATCAAAGTAGTTGCAGCATACAGGTGATCAGGTCCGATAATGGAACTGAATTTACCTCAAAAAAATTCAACAAATTCTGTGAAGATGCAGGCATAGAGCACCAACTGACTGCCCCCTACACTCCCCAGCAAAATGGAGTGGTGGAGCGTAAAAATAGGACGCTTATGGAGATAACAAGATGCTTGTTACATGATAAAGGGCTGCCAAAGAAATTTTGGGCGGAAGCTATGAACACAGCAATTTTTATACTAAACAGATTGCCAACGAAAGCTCTACAGAAAAAGACGCCATTTGAAGCATGGCATGGCTACAAGCCAAAATTGCTTTATCTAAAGACCTTTGGTTGTTTGTGTTACTCTTATATTCCTCAGGTTAAAAGAGACAAGTTAGACAAGAAAGCAGAGTCGGGGATTTTTGTAGGCTATTGCTCATCTTCAAAGGCCTACAGAATCTACTCACCACAAAGCAACAAAATAATTGTGAGCAGGGATGTTAAATTCCTTGAGTCAGACAGCTGGAGTTGGAAAAATGAAGATAAATTTGAAATGCAGGTAGAGAATGATGATGTAGATGAAGAACCTGTTAGAGGAACCAGATTACTCTCTGATATTTATCAGAGATGTAATGTTGCTGTTATGGAGCCTGCAGGATTTAAAGAAGCTACAACTGATCAGAAATGGATAGTTGCAATGAAGGAGGAGCTCAAAATGATAGATAAAAATCAAACTTGGGAGTTGGTGGACAGACCTACACACAAAAAGGTGATAGGTGTCAAATGGGTTTATAGAACCAAATTAAATTCTGATGGTTCTATAAACAAGCACAAGGCAAGACTCGTCATTAAGGGATATGCTCAGATGTTTGGAGTAGATTTCTCCGAAACATTTGCTCCAGTTGCCAGATTGGATACCATACGAATGTTGTTGGCTCTTGCTGCACAAAAGGGCTGGCTTATACATCAATTAGATGTTAAGTCAGCTTTTCTAAATGGATACCTGGAGGAAGAAATCTTTGTGGAGCAACCTGAAGGATTTGCTGTTCAAGGAAAAGAAAATAAGGTGTATCGTCTAAAAAAGGCATTGTATGGTTTAAAACAAGCACCGAGGTCTTGGTACAGCAGAATTGATGCACACTTGATGAATTTAGGCTTTGAAAAAAGTTTGAGTGAATTTACCTTATATATCAAAAAGGTTGATGGTGAAATACTTGTGATATCTTTATATGTTGATGACCTTCTTGTTACAGGAAGCAGCAAGGAGTTGATTGATAAGTTCAAAAAGGAGATGGAAGATGTCTTTGAAATGACTGATATTGGTATGATGTCATTCTTTCTTGGTATGGAGATACAACAGAAGCAAAATGAAGTGTTTATATGCCAGCAAAAGTATGCAAAGGAGGTCCTGAAAAAAGTTAACATGGAAGGGTGCAAATCAACTGCGACTCCAATGAATCAAAAGGAGAAGTTTTGCAAAGAAGATGGAGCTGAAAAAGTTGATGAAGGGCTGTATAGAAGCTTAATAGGCTGTCTAATGTATTTGACTGCAACCAGGCCAGATATCATGCAGGCAGTGAGTCTGTTATCAAGATACATGCACTGTGCTAGTGAAATTCATTTTCAAGCAGCAAAAAGGATTTTGAGATACGTTAAAGGTACTGTTGATTATGGAATAAGGTTCAGTCAAGTTAAAAATTTCAATTTTCATGGTTTTTCTGATAGTGATTGGGCTGGATGTGCTGATGATATGAGGAGCACCTCAGGTTACTGTTTTACTTTTGGGTCTGGAATTTTTTCATGGTGTTCAAAGAAGCAGGATGTCATAGCTCAATCCACTGCAGAAGCAGAATATGTAGCTGCCGCTGCTGCTGTGAATCAAGCACTATGGATAAGAAAACTCATGACTGATCTACACATGAAACAGGAAGATTGCACTCAGATATTTGTTGACAATGAGGCTGCAATTTCTATTTCCAATAATCCAGTGTTCCATGGCAAAACGAAACATTTCAAGATAAAGCTTTATTTTTTGAGGGAAGTGCAAAAGTAGGGAGAAGTGCAGCTGATTTTCTGTAAAACAGAAGATCAAAGTGCTGATATCTTTACGAAGGCTCTTCCCAAGGAAAGATTTGAGTTCTTGAGGCAAAAACTTGGAGTATGCAGTTCCAAAACCAAGGAGGAGTGTTGAATAGTATGATTTGTGGAACTGCTAACAGATTGCAGCAGTTAGTTTTCACATTGCTATTTTTAGGCAATAGATAAGTCAAGTATGTGATATGATTCTGATTCTAGGATCTTATCTCTAGCAGATTTTTTTCTAGATTTTCTCTAATTCAATTTTCTTTATGCTATATAAAAGCATGGCTTATGCCTCAATAAAATTAGACTTCTGCAATACGTATTCACTCTTGCTCTACCTTTTTCTGCTCTAATACCCAACAGTTCTTAGTATATTAAAATGTCCACTTCCTGATTAAAAGGAAATGCGTGAAAATTCAGACAATTTGCCATTACAAAAGATCTGCAACAGTATAAATAAAGTCAAACCTGAAAACAGCCCCTTTAATTCTTCATCAGAAGATGGCTGATATCAATCGTTGGTATGGGAGCTGCTGGAAGAGAACGTTCCACTAACACAAATTGACTTTCTTTAACAAAGCAACGAGGTGGTGGCTCGTCACCATGAAGGAACATCTCCTGAACTGTCTTATGTGAAACCATCGCTCTCTTGACTGCACCATTGGCCATCTTACCAGTCTTCAAACTTCAGAAGTAGGAGCAAGTGCCATATACACCCGGATTTAATATCTTGTAGTGTAGAAGCAAACATATACAAGAGACATTCCATCAACTTTCTTGATCTGCACGAAGAAAGTGTGAACTAGCCGTACATGGAGCTTCATTTATCAACGAAAGTTAGGACCTCTTCAGCAATTTGCTACTTTTTTGTTTGTTTTTCTCCTGAAAGCTAGCTGCAACCAACCACATTTTCATTTTTAATTTTTTTTTTATCACCGGCGAGTCTTTTTTCACATATCTTTTTTCTTCCAACCTTCTTATTCTTCTAAAGGATCCGATCTGTAAATCACTTTCTTGTGGATCACAAAGTAAATCACTTCGTTGTTTTCGAGTTACGGGATTACCCCCTGACATTCATTTTTCATAATTTAGTACTTCCAACAAATTTTCACTCTAATGCAACCGAACTGTAAATTCATACAAAAATTTTTTAAAAAAAGGCTGTAAATTCATTCTTAATAAGTTAAAGAGGAAGCTGCACCTTTGACTTTGAGTAGCAGGCAAGAGGAAATTAAGGTGAAGATGTACTAGTATACTCAGATGTATTAAACTTAAAAGAAAGTTAATTTTTAAGGAGCTAGTTTTGAAAACTAAAATTGTGTTTTCAATTTGTTAAAGTCTCAAAGCTTCACGTCTGGAAGAGAGAGGTGAACTTTTGTCTAGCTGCTAGTGTCTTGTGATGCTGTACTGATTGGTAGGCATTCTCTTTGCAGAAAGGTACTTGAGGTTGGTGTTCTGGCCTGGTCATTGGCCACAGCTCTAGTTCCTTTTCTTGCTGGGTACATGCCTGGACTGGTTGCTTCCAGGATTTTGGTAATTCCATTTCCATATCTCCATTTTTGCTATAGTCTTCAAGTTATCACTTATACATAAATATGTGCTTGTGAAGCTACATGAGATATAATTTGAATAATCAACCAGGGCCGGTCATCATTTTGGTTATTTTGTAGCTATGGAAAATTTGTCTGCCTTTGGTATTATGTGCTGATTTTGTTAATTTTATTGAGTGCTCAGGTTAATTTCCTCCTGTTCTTTGTAGTTACCATCAACTCATTGATCTTTCATTGTCAATAATTACATAGGTTGGTATGGGAGAAGGTGTTTCACCATCAGCTGCTACCGATTTGATTGCCAGGCATGTATGACACTGAGCAGAGCTTAGAGGCATGCCTTTTTTATGGAGTTTGTTCATTAAGTTGTATCTTCTTTTGTATGATGATTAACTTTAGAAACTATGATGTCCTTTATGAGTTCTTCTGCCCTTTTCTGATATTGTTGCTTTGATGCATCTTATTATTAGTCTTGAGCATGATAATTCAAGTTCAATTCAAACTTTTGCAGGTCAATACCACTGGAAGAACGCTCACGGGCAGTATCATTTGTTTTTGGAGGCTTGAGTTTTGGAAGTGTTATGGGGTAACTTCCACGTAGAATATGATCATCATTGTGTTTAATGATATGTGTTCTGATATCAATATTCAATTCCTTTTTTTTCCTTGAAAAATATGGTATCTTTCCAGAATGAGGTTTATTGGTTCAATTACAGGGTTTTCAATGAACTTTTGTTAGATCCAGGCTGTGCCGCGAGTATACTACTTGCATGCTTCTTTCTTTATCTTGAAACCTTCTTCTTTGGCTTCCCCTTCCACACCCTAATCGAAAAGAAGAAAAGAGACTCTGAAACTATGAAAACAGTTTGCAGCCTCAACCTGTAGTTTAAGGTGGTCTTTGTTTCATCAATCTCTCTCAATTTCTCATATTAGAACTGCCTCCTTCAAATTCTTAATAGCCTGCTCATACATTCCTGAACCTGGACAGTTCTTCTGTTTCATGATGAGCCTGACTAGGAAATCTGTGACGCTGTCAGGAGTGTGCAAAAAATTTTTTTTTTTTTTTTTTGGAATTTCTTGTCAGTAATTTTTACTTATGTGAACCTACAGGCTTCTTTTGGCTCCTCCATTAATCCAAAGTTATGGATGGGAGTCTGTGTTTATCATATTTGGCTTCCTTGGCATAGCCTGGTAAGTGGCAAGCATGGGTGATTATTATTTTCTTTTCTTCTGCGTAAGGATTAATGTAGGTTATTTTTTTATGTGTTGGTCTGCCATAATGATTAGGATTGCTGGTCATTACCATTCTAATACCCACTAGAATATTTCAACAAGTTATTTCTTTACATTATGAGCTCTTATTACTTAAAATTCCTTTTATTTGGGCGTGCACATTTTTGGAACTGAAAACTTTTTAGATCTTTTCTGTACCTAGTTGTTCAAATGCTCATACCATGACAACAATTCTGCTGTCCATGTTTTTGCTTCACTTTCTATATCTGTTGTTGGTTCATTAAACATTAGATTTCTTGTGTTATTTTTAGAGCAAAGTATCTAATCCCTGCTGCAGGTTCTTGGCATTTCAGTTTGTTAAGGATGGTGAACCTTCAGCAGGTGGTGCATCAACATCAGGTTAGCAAAATTTGCCTTTCTTCATCGTGCTTTCACAAAAGTTCTTCTTTCTTTCTGTAAATGACCTGGGTTGCCATAGTTTGAATGTAAAAATTCATTTTAGATTGAAGTTGACATTGCAATAATGTAGCTAATGTGTCCATCTCATGAAATTCAATGCTAAACAAAATGAACTAACCTGGACCACTGAAATTCATTAACCTCTTTCCCCAACCCCCCAACAAAAATTCCACAAAAAGAGAGAGAGAGAGAGAGAGAGAGAGAGAGAGGCTCAAATTTGTGAACCTCTAACGAAAATAGAATTGTAGAATTGTATCTGTAATGGGTCTTTTGACCCTGCAGTGGACCAAAACAAAAGTGTATTCCTTAAAGTTGCATGAAAGCTGTTAATACATTTCCACTTTCTGGTTTGTTATCTTCCGGCTTGTAGTAACAAAAGTGAGAGTTAACCGTGTAAAAAGGTTATTTACTGAGATATTGCTCTTCTTATTGGAATTCTAAAAGATACTGTTAATTCATTGGGCTTCCAAAAGTACAGGAATAGGTGACTTTCATTCTCCAGAAAATTTCTCCCTCCCTCTTCTTCGCTTTCCTACAAACAATTCCCCTAGGACTATGATGGGAATCTGGGGGTTTTGCGCCTCCACCCTTCAACATCTCCTGCATGAAACATCCCAGCTTTTCAACATGAGTAAGAGAACCAAGAATGCAATGGTTGTTGGGAAATTTGATACCCTTAGTGGTGCTAGTCTGCAAAGGCAAATTGAAAACATGGAAGCCTCTCAGCATAGCTTATACCTCTTCAAATTCTGTGGCAAGTATGGAGTAAAAAGGGAGGCTTTTGGAAATTTGGGGATGCAAAGACTGTGGGAAGGTAAAGCCCAATACACGTTAAACACTTCTAGTGCTGTAACTGTCAGGAGTATCATCCAAAGGCTGAGCGAGCAGATTGGATGAATTCGGAAACCTGTAAAAGCTAATAATATTGTTTTAGATTCTAAAAGAAAAAGGTAATATTCAAGTAAATAACCAGCATAAAGAAATAACTGCAAGAATCCTGTCTTGCTCAAAAAGCATGATGTAGCATTGCTTAGTTTCCATATTATGAGAGGTTCCCTGCTTAAAGTTATCTAATATTTGGTGATAATGTCTATATGTAAAAGCAACGGCACACACCATGGTAATTTAATGCTTGTATTGGCCATGCTTGACTATGATTCCATGTTGAATTTAACACTTAGCATCACTTTGTTTAAATCCACATATGTGAATATGTATAACCATTGTGTCATATCGATAACAGTTTCCAATACCCAGGGCATCTATTCTTTTCCGAAAAGAATTCATGGATTGGGTCCTTGGAAGAATTGGAAGGATCACTGAAGGTATATAGCCTTTTGTCTTTTGCCACATCAACTGTAGGATCATTTTACCGTAGAAAATGTCTATATTGCATTCATACAAGTTGGACTACAATTTAGATATGATAAGGTTAGCATTATTTAGACTTGAAATGTTACAGTTATGGTTGAACACCATAGATTCAAGTCTTGAACTGGTTTGGCTTAACATTAAAGTTCTGGAGTTTCTCTTCCATAAGAGTTGCTCATTTCATTCTGGAATTAGATTGCTTGCTTACAGTGCGGCTTAGGACCAAGTTGCACACTAATCTTCTCACCAGTAATCTTTCAAGTAAACTTTTCTTATTAAGAAACTTATGAGAAACGTATGCAGTGCCCCATAATGTTAATCGGTGTTGCAAGCAATGGTCTGGTGGGTTGATTTTAGTTTTTTTTTTTTGGTTCTTGCTAACTTAATTAGCAATTTTTTTATATATACATATATTACAGGATGTCCCTTGGAAGGCCTTTTTCAAGAGTAAAGCTGTGTGGGCCATGATATATGCTCACTTTTGTGGAAGTTGGGGTCACTATACTTGTTTATCCTGGCTTCCAACTTATTTCAGGTATCTTTGAACTGGAATATTTCTGAAAAATGATCTCAGCATTTTTTTTCCTTTGAAGACTTTTTTCATTGCTTTATGAGTGAAAGTCTTAGTCTACTTTCTAAAATACATAACAAATGCTAGTAAATGTGATCCCTCAAGCATAGGCTGTTATGTATACAAATAGTAAATGACCAAAAAATTCAAGTGATATAAGACCAAGACTTTCAGTTGCTGGATGGGAAAAAGTAACTCTTTACATTGAAAAAGAGTGTTTCTGGAGCTGATACACTTTTTTTGGCTATCAATGAATGACATCAGTTGTTAAAACATAGGCTTGCAAGGTACAGCAACATGCAGCCAGAGAAAGTTGTTAAAACACAGAAAGTTGCCAATTTAAGCATAGGATTATGAACAACTAAAGAGTCTTGTGTAATCTTATCTTTCTTTCTTCAGATGGAGTAAACCCAGTATAGTTAAAGCTCCATTTGTCTCCTTTTTTAACGCTCTTTTATGTTTGAACTCAGAGACTTAAATTTTGAGAGTGACACAAAATAGATATCTAACAAAGTTGTTTCCAACTTGCCATGCACAAGCACTTGGTACATAACTTGTAAAAACCTTTTTATTTTCCTTGATGGCTATGTTCTTCGTTCTTCTTTCATTCGACTCATGAAACTCAAGAGTGTGCTACATTCGTTATTAGTTCGTCATCATTCTATGATTTATATTTGAAGAAACTGAATTGTCAGCTTGTGTAACCTGCAGTGAGGAGCTCAGTCTTAATCTGACAGAAGCTGCATGGGTGAGCTTATATGATCTTAGTATCACTGAATGCTTACTACAATGATGCGTTCTAGTTGTAGGATAGATATGCAAAGATAACATGTATTGAGGACCAAGTCATGCATAGGTATTTGTTTCAGGTTTCAGTCCTTCCTCCATTAGCTTCAATTTTTGTCACCAGCATAGCTGCTCAACTGGCTGACTACTTAATTACCAAAGGGGTTGACACCACCAGGGTAAGTGCAACAATTTATATGTGCTTTTAGTTATGAATTTTTATGAATTATGGGCTTTACTATGTGTAAAAAGAAAGTACTATAGTATTTGGTTCCTGGGACAAGATTTTTACATCTTTTAGAATCCTGGTTTTTGCATGGCTGAACATGAAATTGCATGAAATCCTTGCATGGTATCTGTGTCTGTAGTGGTCCTTACTAAGTGAAGCTAAGAAGCAACGATATGCCGGCAGTGGGTCTTCTAGTTGATTGGAGAGGAAGATGAATACTAGTACGTAAATTCCTGAAAGAGTGGTGAAAAATTATCTTGCCTGTCTCATGGCATACAAGTAACAGGACTAGTTTAAGTGATTCTATCATTATCTCTGACAGAAGTCTACCAGGAGCAGTTAATTGACTTGCTGGTTCTTCTTTCTTGTTCATATATGCTTGTGTTATGCTAACAGGTGCGCAAAACTTGCCAAACAATTTCTTTCCTCTCTCCCGCTTCTTGTATGATTCTTTCCTCTTTGGATTTGGGATTGCCTCCATGGGAGGTTGTAACAATTCTCACTGGAGGTTTGGCGCTTTCAAGTTTTGCATTATCAGGTATTTGATTGATTTCATTTTACTTAAGATTAGGTACTTAGAAAAGATACAGTCTTTTAAAATAATTGGAAAAGTGCTGATTTCTTATATATATATATTTTGTAAGTGAGAGGACTTGAACCCAAGAACTCTTACTTACAACCCTTCCCCCGGATTTCTTATATTCGTTTTTGGCTTCTAGGTTTATACTGTACCCATCAAGATATTTCACCCGAGTATGCAAGCATACTTTTGGTAAGTGATGTAAACATACTTAAACGTAATTTTTGAGTAACCAAATACTGGTGAGGTTTGGAATTGTTAGCTTCAATGCAATCAAGGAAAATACAATTTTCGTTTAGAAAATGTATGAATAAAATTGAGCTGCAAATCTTGAACTTTTAAAGTTATTTTTTTGCATGTCAGTTTACAACAGGAGTACCCTATTTCTTCTGTCTCCTGCCTCATTATTGACTTAACAAAGGTGTAACCATAGAGCGAAGCTAGCATCATGATTGCACTTTGTCCTCTGTTTAGTTGACTCTTATCAGTAATTATTCTGGAGTTATATGATTTGTTTACACAACTTCTTTATTTGATTTTTGAAAAATTTCTTTTCCTTGGTTTTTTTACTGAACACTTTTGGTTCTGCCACCATTTCCACCTCTCACAAGATGTGTTGATAGTTACTTGAGTGTTCGAAATAAGATTTGAATTGAGGACTTCCCATCCTCTTGGTCCATGCGGAAAAATCGGGATATCATGCTTTTGACTCAGCACAACTTACCTCCACTAGCCTTTTACAAGTTCCACCATGAATGATTTCAGATATGATTTTCCAAACCCAGGGTATCACAAACACAGTTGGGGCAGTACCTGGAATTGTTGGTGTTGCTTTGACGGGTTATCTACTTGATTCCACTCACTCATGGAGTGTAAGTTGCCTTAATAGTTGCCCATTAATTGTGACCATTGCTTAGTCGGTATCTGGGTAACACCATTTTATCTGAATTTCCTTGTTCTCATGGATTGTAGATGTCATTGTTTGCTCCATCGATATTCTTCTACCTCACGGGTACAGTTGTGTGGTTAACATTTGCGAGCAGCAAACCACAAACTTTCTCAAAGAGAGATTGACTCTTATCACTCAGTGCTAGAGGTGATCGGTAACTCTTGATTACTGACATCACATTAACAATTTTGGGAGGACGATTTATGCTGATAATAACATTTTCTGCTGTACAAACATAATTATAGGCTTTTCAGATTTTCCTTTCAAGGTTGATATATTTTGTAAACATATAGTACCGGTAAATCTTGTACATGTCCTTCGCTATAATTAGTTGTGTTTTGCATGTACAAGTTCCTTATTCTATTGAAACTTATTCTGCTCTCTCTCTCTCATGTTTCGGTGTTTCTGATTTTCCCCAACTGTGGAGGCCGCTTCTGATGTCACTGGAACAGTGACCATCTGATCGACTCTTGCATAATGTTAGGCACTTTAATTATCACCTCCTTCCGCGATGTGTTCTCCATCGAATGTGCTTATGTTCTGAGGATAGGGAAAAGGTGGGGAACCTGGAGTGTTGGAACCCATATTAACAAAAAGTATGTTTCTTTTCTTATCAAGAATAATCAAATAAAGCAAAACAGCTTGTATTTCTTGTCCTATATGATTATTTTTCAAATGGAACCCCTTTTAGTTCCATCTGTTCTCTCACCTACAATCTATCTGCAAGCCTTTTACAAACAAACATCTGCTTCTCTCACCTAGAATCTAGTTGCAAGCTTGGAGATTAAGGTATTCTATGTGAGCAAATACAATGGAGTAAGGAGCAACATTTATTGGCTCTGAAGCAGGGAAGATTTGAGGCTTCAGTTGAGGAATTTCCCCAGAGTTACCCACAGTTAGCTCATTCCCATTTAGCAGCATAGTCCGGCTATGCAAGTCACCACCCTTAGCCGTCAGGTGGTACTCTTCTCTTGTGGCAGATCCTATTTTTCTGGGTTGAGGTAATTGAATATACTTGGGTCTGGAGTGATGACGCCCGTGTTTGTGTCCGTGGAGTATTGTGCCATTGTATGCCACTTTGACCTGGACAGAATTGCTGCCATCTAGGTTGATCAGCAGCAAAGTGATGCCTTTCTGTAAGAAACATACCCTGTTGTTAGTTAACCAGTTAATGAATTATCGTGGAAAGATCGAATGCTGGAGCGAGCTTACGGATTGCTTTGCACAATGAGCATAGGCACGAATCTTCTTTGTGCCTCTGAAGTTCGTTGCTAAAACGTTTCTTCCCATCAACTGGTGCCAAAGCAGAGCACTGAGGAAGGCAGAATAGAATTTAGCCACAGAGTCATAGTGATGCCAATACAAGAATAATTAAACCAAACCGACAGAATGATAACTGCTGTTGGCTAACTCTAATTGGTTATGTAAGCGGTATCATTACCTGTAGTAATCTGGATTAGGTACAAAAGTTGTGGTATCGAGCAAGCCGTAGTTTCCCCCAATCAATGACTGCCTGCAGTAAGCCTTTGTATCATAAGCAGATGCCATGCCAAGCTGATCCAGATACCTAGAAGCCATTTCCGCAGAATCGTCAGAGAAAAACAATTTAACATAACCACTTTATATACGCATTTATTAGAAGTTGGAACGACTGCTTGAATACCAGAAGCTGTACACAAATGCGTTCGACACACCGTCTCGGCCGCTGTTGTATGCCCCTCCGGCCTCACCAACCCAAGCAGAGGCGGAAGTCCCAGAATTCTTGAGAACGCCCTTGAGTTTACTAAATGTATCAGCCTCACCATCGAGGTACGACGGACTTAGAATCTTTTCAATAAGGTGCTCATCCACTCCTGTTGATGTAAGATTTCGAGTCAAAACAGGACCAAACTATCCTTCCTCAAAAACCAGTTTTTCGGCTATATTACCTGGTCCTAGATTATATATGTGGTGGGTGGCTGCATTTACAGCGTTGTTGGTCCTGCGCAAAAAATCTGTAAACCAGTTGACATCAAAGAATCCACCCGGCGCTAAAACAATTGGCTTGTTTGCTACATCCTTGTAGATTTCTTGCACTTTGTTGCGTAATACGATTGTATCAGAAGCATACTGATCAGGTGCAACCCTTGTCCCAACTCCACCGCCGCACAGTTCATTCCCTGGCCAAAATAGATGATGAAAAATCACCATCTGAAACTAATCTCAAGCTATCTAAATCATTTTAAATAAAAAACTATCTGAAAACAGAGAAGAAGCATTTCTGCAGCAGGCTAACCATAGAAAGGTAAATGATATTACCAAGTTCCCAACCATATATGTTGTAGCCCTTTTCAACAGTGTAACGAATAAAAGCTTCAGCATTTGAGGAATCCCAAGCTCCAACAGCTGAACCATCAGACCTTATTCTCCTCCCATTCAGAGCATTCAAACCAAATATAATTTCAGCCCTGGAATGAAGAAAGTGATTCACTAATTTCAGATCGATGACAATAATGAAAAATAATTACCAGTCTAACCAAGGTGGTGCTTCTTACGTACCCAGATTTCTTGAAAAAGGAGTTTAATTCATCCCATCTGGACGAAGGAAGGCACCCTTGAGTGAAGCCAAACAACTCTGAGGAATTCTTAACAAATGAATGGCAGCGTTGATTACTCTGAGTTTGATATATGACATTATCTTGCAAGGTGCCCCCAAGTCTAATCTTTAATGGTGAAAAAGCTGCAAAATGAGGGGAAGATAGCTACTTGAGCTCCCATAACAGGACTATTACGTTAAAATGCCGTTTTTAATAATCAAGAAAGCCAGAAAAATTTAATACCTTTTACTGCATTTAAGAAAATTATGTTGTCAAGATCCTGCAAATAAAACAAGAAACAGATCGAACCAGTCCATTAAACACTAATCTTTTAATTCAAATTTGCCACGGCATATAATAGCCCAGAATCATTTTGGACAATTTGAAATTCGTTAACATCTCTCTCACAACACAATCAAGATCTTTTGGACTTTAATCAAAGAAGGCAAACAAAACAGAGTATAAATGATAAGCGACAAGTATTGTCTCCTTCCCCTTTTACTACTTCATTGCTGAAAGCATCAGAGTGGAATTCGTAGCCATCAAAAAACTTTTCTGACACACCGTCTAAAGCATAAAAATCGCATCTTTTTAACCGGAAATGAAGTTGAAGCCGAAATATACAGCTCAAACAAGCCATCATCCCCTTGTTATAAAAGACGGCACTGGTTCGCGTGGACTAAATCCATCAACAACTTCAGCATACCAACGTAGTAAGCTTGCAGGTAACATTAGAAAAAGCACACACAGAGACATAAACATGAAACTCGAAATAGCTGCAAATGCAGGAAAATGGAAAGTACCAGATTGAGAAGGGAAGCATGGTCCCAGCTACAGGTTCCATAGTCACATTTCTCAGGTGGCCACCAATCCAAGGTGGCACAAATGAAATCGTCATCTATTTCTCCAATGGCACTAATCCCATCTACAAATACAAAGCCTTGGGCTGTTCCAATGTCTTTTGCAATCTCAGAGTACACGAAAATAGAGTTATAACTAAACAAAGACAACCATATACACAATCCCACGTAGTACACTACTAAATAACCCATCTTTATGTCTTGAAGCTAATCTTCAAGATCTATCCCCCAGAAGAAAATGAATAGTTGGAATGCTACAATTTTTACTCCATTGCAGGGCTTGTTGGGAAGTTTATAATGGCAAAAGAGAGGACAACAATTAACAAAGATAGGAGGTATTAAGCTGAGGTGATGTTAAATGAGTTATAAATGCCAAGAAAGCAAATTTAGAGATAATTTATACTAAAGGCTCCAATCTTTTTTGGGACTGAGGCTATTTAAATAGAAGGTGCAAGAAAAATTCAAGATTTGCAGCTTGGGTTCTGAGTAAGAAATTTGATGCAGCTCTAATTGGGCAAATCAGCTGGGGAGTGGGGCCATTGTGGATGTGCTTTGCTTGAGAAAGGTGAAGAAGGATTGCTGGAGTGTTGGACAAAAGATAAGCACAGTTTTGAGTTGGGGAGGTGTGAGTTGGGGTCCATTCAGTGGTCTGGGGTCAAGGACAAGGATTCGGTAGATTATTGATTCAAGTATCAACACACAACTGAATGGAACCAGAGCATCATCAATAATCGAGTCTTGCTACTACCGCAAAATGCTATCATCCGCATGCTTGAAAATTTCGGGTGGATTTGGTGACAGAATAAGAAAGGTCGATCTCGGATAAAGATGTAGTCATGTAGTACATATGAGGAAAACGAACATTTCTTTACTTTTTCTTGCAGAATTACCTACATAGTACGTGAAAGCACCGCGCTGCTCCGACTGAATCTTGAAGTTTATAGTTCCTTTTGCCAATAGTTCCAAGAAAAATCATTCAAAAGTGACTTGGAGTTTATTTGGTTATTAGCTTAAGACCTTGTAAGGAGATGAACAGCAAGCATGAGAGTGATTAAACAAAAACGAGAACAAAAAAAGGGCGAGTATTAATTGTTTCCACCATTATGTGTTAGTTGCAAATTACCAAAAAAAAAAAAAAAAAAACTAGTTCAAATTAAAAGGGAAAATGAAGTTCAATTACCTAATTTTTTTATGTTGACTACTTATTAGTATTCCTATCGCTTTTCATCATTAATAATCCTATTTATAGAAGAATAATCTTGAAGCAACGAGACACAAACAACAGCAGAATCCAAAGTATGACAGTGGCCTCCACCTCCTTGTATTGAGAAATACAGAGCAGATTAGGAGGACCTGGAAATTTTTATACAGCTGTCAACTCATGGTGAAATATTTACGTAGCAAAATGATTATGGGTCAAAATCATAGACTGCATTAGCAACAGAACATTTATCCGAGCTCCAAAACTAACGGGACAAAAAAAAAAATTACTCGCAAGTGATTGTACACTCACTCAATTAATGCAACCCTTTATGGTACCCGACACAGCCCGTGAATATGTTCATATAATTACTACAACGACCCTGCGTACAAAGTACAAACGCAATTCTGCTGCAAAATTTTCACCACCTAAATTGGAAAGACTTAGGAGGCAAATTTATATATTTAGCTGCTCTGGAGTCCGGACTTGCAAAGTTCAAAATTTCCGGAATTCCTTGAAGCTGTCATAATTTTAGGCAACCGAGAAAGAAACTACCAGAACCTAATCCATTAGAATTAGCGGAGGAAAATCCTATCCTTTCTTTATTTGGTGGAAACTTGCGTTTCTTCCAACTCCCCTTTACCAACTTTCTGAAACTACATGCTTCCTTTTTTCGTGTTGTTAACAGCTACACAGTAGGTGTATAACGACGGGCAACATATGTCGTACACATGAAATTGCATCCTCAATCAAAA